TTAAAAATAAGTGTGACGGGTAAAAATAATGGTAGTAACGGTATACATAGGGGAAGCTTTAAAAATAAGTGTGATGGGTAAAAATAATGGTAGTAACGGTATACATAGGGGAAGCTTTAAAAATAAGTGTGATGGGTAAAAATAATGGTAGTAACGGTATACATATGGGAAGCTTTAAAAATAAATAGGATGGGTTACAATAATGGTAGTAACGACATACATATGACAAATTTTGGAAATAGGCAGGACAAGCGACAATAACGGTGTACAGGCTGCATGCTGTCAAATTTGGTAGGATGAGTAACATTAATCGTAGTAGTGGTATACACGTAGGAAATTTTGGAAATAGTTGGAACAAGCTACAATAAAGGTCTAAACCTTTATTGTAGCTTGTTCTACCTATTACGATAAGGTGTTATATGTTTATTGCTGCTACCATTATTGTAACTCATCCTAATAAATTTTAAAGCATTTCCACCTACAAACCTTTATTGTAGCTTGTTCTACCTATTACGATAAGGTGTTATATGTTTATTGCTGCTACCATTATTGTAACTCATCCTAATAAATTTTAAAGCATTTCCACCTACGTAGGTGGAAATGCCTTAAAAATAAGTTGGATGGATTACAATAATGAAAGTAACAGTATGCATATCACAAATTTTGGAAATATGTGGAACTAGCTATAATAACAGTTTGCAGATGGTAATGCTTTAAAAACAAAAAGAATGAGTAATATCAGTATACATATGATAAATTTTCGAAATAGGAAGAACAAGCTTACGTAACGGTTTGCTGGAAACATTCTTTTAAAATAAGTAAGATTGGTTACAATAGCTGTAGTAGCGGTATACATATGGCATTTTTTGGAAATATATAGGACAAGTTGTGATAACGCCATTCATATAACATATTTTATACACACGCAAGCTTTAGAAATAAGCTAGTCTAGTTACTATAACGGTATTCTTGTACTATGTTTTACAAAGAAGCAGGACAAGCTAAAATATCGGTATGGATGAACTGGCTTTTTTATGCTATAATGGTGTGGAAGTTATTTATGGAAACTCCATTGATATTTTTTTAAGTCTAGTACACACAAAAATAAATAACGTAATATCTGTCATATTTCACTTCATTTACTTCCCACATATGGTCATTTCGTAAGCCTAGCTAGAGAGAAGGAATGTAAGGAGTAGGTTAACCAAATGTTAATGTGCGCGTGTGTCTAACAGTACAAGAAACTACTGTTTGACAAAGAAGAAAAAAGACAAGCTGTTAGGGTTCTTGGAATGTTTCCTATTTTAAATCACTTACTCATAACACAGCTGCAAATCATACAGTTGTCTTCGGTAATTCAGGATGAGTTAGTCATGTTTGCAGGTTCATTACTTGAATAGTTGACTAAAAGTAAAAAAAAATAGTCAAAACAACCTGTAAATCATTATTCGCGATATTACCACCTCACAGAGCGCCTAAAATACTATTTCTTTTGATTATTATGAAAGCAGAGAAAACTCTCTATTTAAACATTCTGTCTTTAATAATGTATACAGTGGAGTCGAAGACATGTCTAACATATGTATGTGTGTGTGTGTGTGTTTATTTTCGAATGTTCCATAGCCTATAACAAAGCGAAGAAAGGAATGTAGCTGATAACAATCATGTCACAATCTGGATAATGCTAATTAACGGGAAACTAATGTGTCTCGCGAGAAGGACAACATGAACAAACCAGTAAGCAAGCCGGCTTGTCATACAGCTGCTCTCGATGGAAGACATGGGATGAGTACACTGAGCGAAAGCGGATCCGCGAGGCTACTTCTGCTTGATACGTCTGCCCATTTGGGATTTGTACACTTACGTCAGTAGGTGAAAATAAGTGGATTAGTGGTAAACACCTAAATGTCTTTACTGCGCCCCTGGATTACGACTACGAAAATGGCGGAGGTACAAAGTGAAGAAGCACAAATGTTTATCTCTTAGGCTGTCTAGGAATCCCTAGATACTGTATGATACGTTGTTTTCATCAATACTTACACTCCGATGAAGGAAGTAAAAAAGGAAATCCTCTTTATAAACTTATAAAAACTGTGAATGTAACCCTTTATTTTTCATTATGTATATATATATATATACCATACTTGATGGCATATTTTCTAGACATGTCCTTTATAACATTATATGTTTTCTCCCTATGATCATAGTACAATAGTATGTTATACATGATAAATTTGTCTTACTCCCTATGATCACAGCACAGTTACATACAACATTTGATGCCTTTCTCCCTATGATCACAGTACAATGAAATTTTATCCTTGATTCCTTTACCTTATTCCTTATGATCACAGAACAATATGTCATCATTGATACCTTTACATTACTCCTTAACATTACAATATGTTATCTTTGATACATTTACCTCACTCCCTATGACCACAGTACAGTGACATGTTATCCTTGATACATTTGTCTTGCCCCCTATTACCAGGGTTCAATGATATTATCCTTCATATTTTTACCTTACTTCCTACGACCACAGCACAATGATTTGATACCGTTATCTCATTCCATATATAATTAAACTGTAAATATATATTCCTTCTAATAACTTTACTTTTTCTCAGCTGTCAAGTTGGACAGGTGTATTTTCTCTGATACCTTTACTTTACCACCTATAATCATACGATATGCTATTATAATACGTTTTTACTTTAATAACGAAGACTGAAACTAGAATTACATATCTTTAGACGTTAACATATATGGATGGATAGTACTGGATTTATTTAAATATATATATTCATGACTAAAACATGGTGTACAATCCTAAGAGCCAGACTACTTATTCTGTCAGGAAATTAGTGTATAAGATCTCAGCTATGCCATGTTATGTAATCAGATCTGATGCTTAAGTTTTCTTAGAGAATAAAAAACATAAACAATAGTAATATGAGAAACTACGTAAAATTATCAACTCAGTAAAGAATAACAATAAACAAGTAATACATTTAAATTTTTGTAGTTAAGCACAAAGCTACACAATAGGCTATATGTGCTGTGCCCCTTACATGTATCAAAACACGGTTCTAGAATTATAAAACCGCAGACTTACTGCTGTGCAACTAGAGAGCATATATATATAAATTAATAATTTGCTAAAAAGTATAATCAATTTTCTCTCTTCCACCAATGTGACTTATTTCTACAGCATGAAAAAAATATGAATAAAATTTATATTCTAGTATTTTCGTATTTGATATAACATAGTTGTAGTGTAAGTGAAATCAATATATATTCTGTTAAATTAATACGAATAATAATTCAAATTAAAACTCCAACGATCAGTGAATTAGAATCCCAAACAATGACTTTCATATCATTTGTTTTTCGTTTCCATGCTTATTAGTAGAAATGAAATGTCAAAGGTATTTACAGCAATGTAAACAAACACATTAGCCACAGTGGTGCCCCCGTGTGATTAGCTTATGTTTCTTGTCATTATCTTCGTTTTTAGTTTAGATTATTATACGATTATTATATAAAAGAAATAAAAACTTTAGTAAATACCAAACTGTTCTACAGATAGAATAGTATTTCACTCAGATTTTGTGCAAACTGCTCGTGACAGGATTTCTTCAGTTATGTAAAGATATTTCAGTTCATGACGTATAGATAACCAACCTCAACAATTAGTAGTCGTTAAACATTTACTTTTTGCTACAGTAAAGATTCTGGCGTCATGCTTATTAATGTCATTTACACAAATATTTTCCAATTTTCAGTTATACCATAGTTATTGAACTCAATGGGTTATCTTCCTTTTATACTTTGTTTTAGTTTCTGAAGTTTGTAGTGCTAATATTTGTTTTTCTATTCCGTTGTTTTTTACTTTTGAGGATACAAGTTTAAGCTTGTTGCTTTCCTATCAGCTAATCGTGTTATCTCAAACGGTGTTTTATTATCTTCTTACGGTTTTTTTAAAGTAAATCTTGATATGTAAAGTATGTCAGCATATCAACTATGATAACATCTAAAGTAAAAAATACAAAAGTGTACACTTTCGAAAGGTAAACCTTTCCTCATCAGAAACAGACTGGTGTATTTATCATAACAACTATAATAGGTAAAGTTCGCCCGAACATTAAATTACAGGTTGTAATAGTTTCACGAATTTCTATTTTTTCGGTACCACTGGTTAAAAAAGGTTAATGTATATAAAAATTTTGCCCCAATTTCTGACGTTTTTTTTTCGTACAGTATAAAACAAATTAATTTTATTTTAGATAGCTAAACCCTATATAAGAAAATATCAATATTTAGCCCCTTCTAGTTAGAAATCCACTTCATGTTTCAAAAATTAGTAAATATGATTTTTCTTTTCTTTTTTCGTAATATAATTTTTATTCAAGTGAAATCATACCGTGCTTAAGTTCTGAAATATATTAACTTCAACTTCTAGCATTTATCCATCATGCCACTAGTGAGAGTTAAAGCGGACTGAGAAGGCTCGTCACAAATAATTAGGAAGATTACTGATTAAAATACTAAATTTAGCCTGCGACTAGTGAGACTTAAAGCGGACTGAGAAGGCTCGTCACAAAAAGTAGGAAGCCGTAATAGGTCCCTCTGGCCCTTACCCGAGAATAACGCGCACGTGCCAGCTAACCTTAAGATCTGTGACCCGGTGATCGTAAAGCAGCGGGGTGAGATGAGTAAGGTATTAGGATGTTTAATGTTGTGTTTAAAACCGGAAAATAGACCTTCTTATAAACTCGTACTATACTTATACAGACTATATGATCTTTTCATACGCTTTTGTGCTGATGTACTTAAATGTGCAAATATATATACGCACGCACCATGTCTTAAAAATGTCCGTGAAAACTCAATATGTTTTTATGATTTACAGCGGTACTTGCAGAAGCTGAATCGTCATTTAGGAAATGTCCTTGATGGTGTGAAGAAGCAATGGAAATATTGGGGTAATCACTTACCTTATCCTGCTGCTGCATCTGTTTTATCAAGATGCTTTTCTTCTTATCCTTACATCTCTTGTTCTGGAACCACACCCGAACCACCCTGGGAGACAAACCCGTCATCTCCACAAGCTGTTCCTTCATCAGCGCGTCAGGCCGCGGGTTGGCTGCGTAGCATGTGCGTAATGTATGAAGCTGCTTCTCGTTTAGCACGGTCCGCACTCGAGTTGACTTAATGTCCGAGTTTTGTTTGTGGACTTGCGGCCTGACGGAACCTCTATTTCGGTTAGTCTGCATCGGCTCGGCGTTAGCTGGAATACAATAACAACAAAAAACTATCATTAACTAAACTACATCAGGAGGAATAAATTGTAAAATAAATTGCAATAATTCAAATGATTTTGTGTTTGTTTTTTCATGTTATGTGGTTTTTTTTTTAGCATTTCTTTTATTATCCTGGAAGAAGATCATTGTATTGGCAATTATAATCTATGATTAACATATATAATAATTAACAATTAGAGAAATTTCATCCAAGTACGTTTAGATGATATACAAATAAAGTATGTAGTGGTTTTCAGTATTACTAGCCTATTTTCGGAAAGTAGTTAAAGAGGATTTTTAAGAAATTTACATTTGAATATATTTCTGATTTGTAAAAGCAGGAGATTATTATGCACGAAAAGAGCTGGGAAGAGCTTGATATGTCTATCTTTATCATGTATAAAGATTCTAAAGCAATCTGAATGAACTACAGCTATTGAGTGCAGTCAATATAATTGCATCACAGTGACAAGTTAATTGCTGCAACATCATACTGTGAGAAAGCCAATCTCTCTCATTTTTCTTTCCTATTACCTGGGCCTCTTTATTGTTGCTGCACATAAACCAATGGTTGAAATATAAGCCCCTCCTATGATTATCGAAAGCACACCAGTACAAACGCTGTTATTTTAATACATTGGTGGATTATATTACTAGTTCGTAACTTTCAAATTAAGAAATAAAGAACGAATTTTTATTCCTTAAATACTCAGCTAAATTTGGGCTATAATTAACTCTATCATTCCTGAGTATTCAAATACAAGGAAATAATGTAAAAAGTGGTTTGACATCCACTACAAGTTATTTTGTCCTGATCTGTATTCAGATAATTCCAACCATTAGGCAAGTAAAGACGTTTGTTTACACTAGCTAATCGTCACATTGCCGTAGAAAAATGTGTTATAGTCGATATATATAAATATATATATATATACTACTACTACTACCAAAAACACCCGTCAGTAATAGACTTAAAATCTGCTGCCTCCTTCCACTAGTTTCAACCGTAGCACACGATTGGTTTGTCCGATGCAAAGATACCCGCGCTACGCACAGCGTTCAACGTCACTTTACGTTTAATTGAAAACGTCTGCCGAACTAGTGAATTCCTCACAACAGCGTTTGACACCGGACATATTGATGACTGACGACTCTGCTTTACATATATATAACTTTTCTGTAGAAAAAGCTAAGGTAAGAGTGGTCACCACGCTACTCTATTTTCAATATAATCTATATTTTACGTAATTGTACGTATAATATTATTAAGTTTGGTTTGTTTTAAATTTCACTACTCGAGGGTTATCTGCGCTAGCCGTATCTAATTTAGCAGTGAAAGAAGGGTGCTAGTAATCACCACAAATCGCCACTCTTGGGCTACTCTTTTACCAACGAAAAGTGGGATTGACCGTCACATTATAATTCCCCATGGCTGAAAGTACGATCATATTATGGGGTAGAGGGATTCGAACCCGCGACTCTCAGATTGTGAGTCAAGTGCCCTAACCACCTGGTCTATCTTAGTATGGTTTATCGACTTCTTATTAAACTAAGAAACATAAACTGATGATTAATTTAGGGCTGAGAGACACGAAGGTTGGTGTTATCACTACAGCCTGAGGAATTCCCTTGTTTGGCCCCAAGTACTAGGTGGAGCTGGTGTATGTGTCTATGTGTATAAATGAGTGTTAAAAAAGGAAAGAGTGAGAAAGAGACAACCCAACACCACCCCTCATTCACTTTCCATCTGTTTTAATTAAGGAGAACAGAGCGCACTCTGTCAAGATCGGATTACGTCTTGTGTCGGTGGGGCCGTGGGAAGTGGTCAGGTGAGCAAATAGCAGGGACGTACGGTCGTCAGACCAAAAAGCTTCTTGTCGGCCGATATGGGAATAAGCAGGTGTCAATCACAGTGCTAGATGGATCAACAAAGAAAGGAAAAGATCTAACAATGTACCGTCATATCAGTCAATAACTTGGTTGTACCGTTAAAAATGGCCACTCCAAAACAAACAGCATCAGGGGTATTGTTTTTGGCTTTGGAAGCTGAAGAAGAGATTTATAACTCGAATAAACTGACTATGAGCTTAAAGCATTGCTTTCAATATTTTTTTTATATTTGAACAAACATGACATTCTCTATAAACAATTAAGAACCTAACTTGATTTATAAAATAATCCAATATTCAAATATATATAGTATACTTATAATTTGTTTGCTTTCAGGACAAAGCTGCAAAATGGACTGTTTGTGGGGTTTTTACCGAGGGGGTTAAACCTTGATTTTTAGCGTGATAAGGCCACAAGCTTATCGCGAGCCGTCTGGAAAATTGTATACCTATTTGTCTAAGAGCTACAATACAATAAAATAATGAAAATAATACGATTATCGGAAGAAAAGCATAGTCATTTAAATGTAAATTTTATTCCTTGTCTTAAGACAACCACAACCACGCTTCCATGTCAGACACGTTAACGGTTAAGTACCAGTTATCTGCTTTCTCCGTAAAATGCATTCCAAATCATAAACATCAGGCTTCTGATATCTTGAAGACTAAATTAGAATTGTGTGTTTTTTGTGGAACTTTTGTGTTCATTAAATACAAGTATGAGTCAAATTAATTTATCTGAATGTACGAAAAGAACTCGACAAATAAGGATCTGAAATCAACAGCTGTATAAATTAAAAAATTCCGTAATTAATACAGAAACACAAGTCTGTATATTACCTTTCATAAATCTTCCTTTTATTATCTAATCCTCTCATTTCTAACCATTCCTCTTGCAAGAGCGAAATCGTCTACTAATTAATATATATATTCTTTCATTAGAAACTTAACATTTTCTAAAGACTTATCTGTTAATTAATCAAGTGGTTACGCTTCATTTTCTCTCTCTCTCTCTCTGTGTTTTTTATGAATGACGAATAAAATTGTCTGACGATTACCAAGCTAAATCTTTTGTCGATTAACAGAAAAAATTCTTTAAAAGAACCATCTAATAAGAAAAGAGCCACGTCAAAACAGGTTTTTTTTTTTTGGCTGCTACATGGTCTTTTGAAAAAACAAAAATTCGTTGCCAATTAGCAAGTGAAATTTGTGGTTGATTAGCAGGCAGAGTGTCTAGATTTATTTGGTGGCTTAATGGTGAAGTTTGTATGTGTATACATGTATAGAATTTCTTTCTTTTTTTTTAATTTTCATGTCACTTCATCCAGACATTCATGTGGTATACTGGTGTTTGGCGACTCAAGCATAAAATCCTTCGGATTTATTCAGAAATGGAGTGGTTACATAATTTTCAACCACTATGAGTTATTTTTGTCCATGCATATGGAAATCTCTGGCAACATGCAAAACATATTCTTCTTAAACTCA